AATAATTTTGTTCCTTTGGGGGGGCATATATTCATTTTCTTAGATAAAAATGAATAGATTGAGAGAGTATGGAAATCTTGATGAGGACCTGCTGACTCATTCCCAAATATCAACCCCTCAAACACCCAGCCCTCCATCCATTCCACTTTGTCTTGGCCTGGCCTGCACTCTAGATGTCTTCTTACATCAAGCAAGTAATTTTTCCATAGGACGCTGACTTCAGAATCTTCTCAGCACACAAGTGATTCCATTTTCAGGAACAACACATTGAGTCCATTAAGAAAACAGAGGTAAAATGAGTTATTCAATGCAACTGCTGAGGAGTTCAAAGTGCTTTTGGTTTTTGGAAGTGGCTGTCAACATGTCCTTTCCTAACATGCCTCTGAAAAGATTCAATCACCCTTCCAGTTGTGCTCCCTCTCCAGGTGCTTATGATGTTAACACTTCAGAGCAACCTAAAGGACTGGTATCCTTTCAGAAATCACAAAGATTTACATGAGAAGCAGAATATCAACAAAACCTTAATGTTGACTCAGATACTACCGTGCCTTCTCAGCTAAGAAAGCTAAGCCTCTGGACTTAAAGAAGGAATCTCAGAAAAATGATAAAGATTAGAAAAACAGATTCATGTCCTTGTATAGGAATGAGGTGCTCAGGACAAGTGAATCCTGAGTATGGAAACTGAGTTGGAGAAGATGAAAGCAAAGTTCAATGTTGTACTCAGAGGAAAAAAATATCCCTCTCTGCAAGTAATACTTCACTGGAAAACCAGATTATTGAATTAACCAGGACTAATGAACTACTTAAATCTAAGTTTTCTGAAGATGGTAATGAGAAGACCATGAGGATTCTAAGCCTGGAATTAATGAAACTTAGAAACAAAAGAGAAACAAAAATGAGGAGTATGATGGCCAAAAAGAAAGCATGAAGACAAACTGCAGGTCACTCAGAGGAATTCCCAAGAGTCTCAGGAAGATATCTCAAGAAGATAGTGGAACTTGAGGGGAAAGTTGTTTCAATAGAGAAGGAAAAGATTGATGAAAAGTCTGAAACAGAAAAACTCTTAGAATACGTTGAAGAAATTAGTTGTGCATCAGATCAAGTGGAATAATATAAGCTAGATATTACTTACTTAGAAGAAATATTGGAAGAGAAGAGTCAAGAAATTTTAAGCCTTGGGGTCGGGGAGATGGCTTAGAATAAGTGCTTCCGTGGCAAGCACAAGGGCCTGAGTTCAATCCCCGGTTCTGAAAAAGAAAGAAAGAAAGAAAGAAAAGAAAAAAGAAATTTTAAGCCTTAAACAGCCTCTCGAGAAAAATATTGTTAGGTTATCTACAGTAGAAGAACTGAATGCTCAATGTCAGCTGCTTAGAACAGAAAAAAAGACCTTGTCAGCAGAGATGAAAATCTAAATCTGGAGATGCAAAACTTAAAAGAGGAGCTTATTCTTGAAAGAGGAGAACATGAAAGGCTACAGCAAAAAGAATTGGAAACTGAATCACTTCTCCATCAAGAGAAGGAGTTATCTTCTAGTCTTCAGCGGAAGCTATTTTCTTTCCAATAGGAAATGATTAAAGAAAGGAATAGCTCTGCAGAAGAATTAAAGCTGGCACTGGAGGAACCACATATAGTACAGCACAAGGAGGAACAGTCAGAAAACCTTGTCAAGCAGTTGGAAGATTAGATAAAAACTACAGCAGAAGCCTTCAGACTCCTAGAACAACAAGTGAAAGAGAAAGAAGATAAACTGGAGAAGAATCATACTGCCCACATTCAGGCTACCCTGATTTTGCAAGAAAAGTATAATAGTAGTGCAAAACCTTGAAGATATTACTGATGAATTTAAAAGCTATAAAGCATTAACAGTTAGTGAGATCATTGATTTTAAGATGGAGAAGGCATCAGAAAAAGTGGTCAATGCTGAAAAAGAAGATGTTCAGCATAAAATATTGAAAATTGAGAGCACAAATCAAGAATACAAGAGGATGCTTCAAGATCTGCAGAGCAAATCTACTCTGAAAGAAGTCAAAATTAAAGAAATCACAGTTTGTTCAATTAAAAACAACTGATTTGCAGAACCAACTCAAACATCAAGATGAAGATTTTAGGAGACAAAAAGAAAGGAAAGCTGAGAAAGAAAATATACTGGCAGAGTTAACTGGGAAGTTAATAAATGGAGTGTCCTTATGAAGAACTTCATAAAACAAAACCTTTTCAGCAACAACTGGATGCCTTTGAAGCAGAGAAACTAGCCTTGCTGAATGAACATGGTGCAACTCAGGAACAGCTAAGTAAAATGAGAGATTCGTATGCGGAATCACTGGGTCATCAGAATCTGAAGCAAAAAATCAAGCGTGCTGTGAAATGGAAAGATGAAGACTGCCAACTAAAATCAGAAGTGTCAAGACTCCAATCTCAGCTCTAAAAAGAAACACAATGAGATAAACCTTCAGGAGGAACTGAAAAAAAGTTCTGGGTGTCAAGCGCTTTGATCCTTCAAAGGCTTTTCAACACAAGTGTAAAGAGAAGGTTGCCTTCCAAACCCCAAGAAGGCAAAACAGAATACACATGTAGACCGTTACCTTCCTGTGGATTTGCCTTCAGGACAGCGGCTTCCTTCTGATGAACCATGAAAATTTGTCGATATCATCTGGTGTGAAAGAAATTCTTCCTGAAATTAATGCTGAAATTGATGTACACGATCCCTTTTTCCAGCTTTCATAGTCTTCAGCAGACCTGGATTCTTTCTGTCCTTCAAGCCCCATTCAGATTATGTCCTCTTCTTAGCTTGTGTGACTTTTTTGCTCCTACCTTCACTGTGCATTATACATTATTGCCTCTATAAAACTTTTATATCTTAACTTAAATGTCTCTTAGGTCCTTAATTATTTTCTAATTTGAAATTTTAGAGAAGTAAATTTTCTCGAAGAAGAAGAAGAAGAAGAAGAAGAAGAAGAAGAAGAAGAAGAAGACGACGACGACGACGACGACGACGACGACGACGACGATGACGACAGACGTAGCTGTGGCAAGGCAGGTGTAAGCTGCTTAAATACAGTTATCACTAGGCGAGGTGAGGTTGACATCATGGGAAAGATCCTAGTCCAGAAGTTCCCGAGTTACAGCCTATAACTGAACTCTATCCTTGCAGCCCGGATTTTATTTCTGTGCTTATTTGTGGCTGACAGAGAGGCCGGTGGAGCAGAAGCCAATCAGCGGCAAAGAGGCGGGCTGTATGAACTATCCAATCAGGTGGCCAATAGAGGCGGGCACTTCCGCTGTCATGGCGTCGCAGTGCCAGTGTCCAGCGCGCTGAGAGCCCGCACTTTGCTAGGCCACCTACTTAGACTTCTACTGGCTGCACGCTGCATAGGAAGGACTCCGGGAGAACCTGAAGCTGCGCAATGGTGATGTAGCACAGAAGCCGGGAATGGGATGGAATTGGAACTAGGTCTGGAAGAAAGTGGCCAAAACTAGCTGTGGGGAGCCATAGCCTCCTGCTTAGCTTCAGCCCTGAGGTTCTTCTTGTCTTTGGTGTTTCTGTCCCTTTTCCCCAACGCAGGGTCAGAGCTGGTTCAGGGTTCTCTGTATCCTGTCCCCACTGAGACAATCCCTGCCCACGGTGCCATCTTGGGTGGCCCCAGGCACAGGCTTATCTACGGGGAGCCCCGGGGATGGCCTTGGAAGATCTCCATTCACAGGTATGGGTTGGAGCTGGTTGCAGGGGATGCGTTAGTCCCCTGGTCTCATTCTTTTTAGTAGCAGACCTAGAGGATCTGATATTTTAAATGTCTGCAATACAGGGTCTCATATTCACAATTCTCCTCAGACCTCTGCCTTATTATATGCACAAGGGATTCCTAAATCTCCAGTATTTTTCCATATTGCTAAAGTCGTAATAGGTGCTGATAAGTGCTATGAGAATCCAAACAAACGGAGTGACTGGGGCATGGAATCCGTGCTCAGGAACCCCATGTTATCACCGTTATTTATGTTAGACCTCTCCTCTCAGTGATTAAAAGAAAGAGCTCATGTTCTCACCACATTGTGGAATGAGGTCAAGGAATGGGGAGAATTTTTATTGGAAATAGGAATAGCGCATTTATTCCTTGGAAGCGTCCTGAGTGGCCATGTGGCTGCTCAGTGCAGAGCAAACTAAGATAGTCACAGCACATCATTGCTCTTTGCTTAATGGCCACCTATCATGGATGTCTGTGTGTTTAAATGATCCATTGGAACTTAGGCTCTTAAAACCTTTTCTTACCATCTAAGTTTTTTTCGATGTTGTTTTTGTTTTTTAATGTATTTGGTACAGGGTCTCAATACACAACTCGGACACCTAGTGACCTTCCTGTTTTCACCCTTTGCAGTACTGGGATTTCACTCGTGCACCACCATGCCAAATTTGGTGGCTGGCTCAGAGTGTCCTGGGTTGGGGTCTGAGAGGCATGTGGTGCCAGGAATCAAACCGTGGTCCCTAAGCTTGCCAAAGCAGGCACTTAGTCTGCTGAGCTATCTTGCCAGCCCCTTACCATCTAAGTTTTATGGAAATCGGGTTTTAGAAAAATGCTGGATATTTTTTACTTTCAATTTCTGGAAAATGAAGAGCTTAGCAGGGAGAAACTATAACTCCCTGTAGTAAGGATTGGCTGCATTCCGTGTTGACTGAGGACATAGATTCTTGGTCCTCGGGCTTCAGTATTCTTATTATAACTCTTTTGAATATGGATTATTTCCCATTTCTGTCTCAGGCCATTTTCCCTCACTAGGTGCCATATGCATAAGGGAACTAAGTAAAATATTCTTTATAGTTAGACTATTTAAATGTAGCCTTCAGAGAGTTTAGAATGCTGAGGAAAAATGGAGGGCATATTAATATATTACCAAAGAAGGGGAAGGGGTTCTTGCTAAGGACAACTTTCTGAAAGAGCTGTCTGTTAAACCCAAATTGATATCACATTAGGCTGTCTCCATGGTCAGTGAAAGTGGTAGTAATAAAAAGGGAAAAGGTGCTCTCATCTCTGAAATAACTGCTTTAGTTCTTGGACAAAGTATAGCAATGTTCCTACATGTTTTAAATTTGAAATGTTGAATGAAAAGGACTTTGTACAAAACCATCCTGAAGTAGAGGTAAATTCGCATAGTTGAGGTAGACAGGCACATAAAAGAATACAAATAAAAGGGATTTTGGATAGAGAGGCCCCAGGCCAGTAAAAATGAAATAGGAGAGCAGGATTTGTTGGAGGCAGCTGAAATCAGCAACTACAACTGGAACTCCTTCCACCGAGGTCAGATTGTTTCTGGGGGTGATAATGATTGAAGGACTGGGTGAACTTCCTTTGGGTGGATCAAGAAGCATCCATAGGCTCATTCTTTCAACTCTTCAAAAGTCCTTTGTAGATCATGACTTTCATCAGATTGTTTCCTGTTTTGAATGCTGCGCTAATCAGCTTGTGTGCAACACAACTAGGAGATAATATGAGGACTCTTTAGAAAAGGGAAAAACGACTGTGAGATTTTGTTTTTGTTTTTGTTTGTTTGTTTTGTATGTGGGTTTGTTTGCTTTGCTTTGACTTTGCTGTTCTTGTTTGGGTATTATAAAGAGGTCCTTGATGTAGTCATACTCTGCCTTACATTGCTGTGACGGGATGAGATGAAACTTTTCAATGAAAATACAGGCCTGAGCAGACTGTGCATAGCACTAAGCATTTGCAGAGCTAAAGAGAAAACACTCTATTCCTAGTTCTAATTTAGGGTTTGTATCTCTGAGGAAAAAGATGACCATGAGCCTTTGTTATGTGTTCCATATATGACAAGGAACTATAATCCCTGAATTCCCCCCAAGTGTCTCCTGGGTTCCCCAGACTCAGCAGAGTACCCACGGCAATAACCTATAGAGAAAAGCACAGCTGAGATAAGGCACCAAGTGTAAGTTCAAGGTACCCCTTGGCCTGTCCTTTACACCTCCTAGTAGTGTCATCATAGAGCATCAGGCAGGGCAGCAGGTTCTGGGGCTTCATGTCTGTGACATCTGAGAAGTAGTGCAGGTAGTGGGGACAAGAATAGCATATGCTAAGACAGAGTGCTGTGGGTGGTGTCATTCATTCCACTTGGTTTTGGGGTGCAGAGATTTTGGCAGCTCTTGAGGTCTTTGTTTGCCCATTCTGGGTATCTTGTTGTTAGGAGCTTATATGTCCTTACTGTGTCTGCAAAGTTGGTGGTTTCCAGGCACTGGTGATTGTGCACACCAGAAAATATATGAATGTATCTCAACTTTTTTTAAGAGAGAAAAAAATGACAATCACAATAAAACATTTTCAAAACAGGCTAGTAACAGAGTAACAACAATTAATACATTTTATATTGTTATCCTCACAGTAGTCACTCAGAATATAAGACAAAGGCATTACATACTGTCCAAATAATATTAGCACAAAACTTCCTTTTCAGTGAACTAAGAGAAACTCACTGTATAGCTATCTTAACTACTTCGTGTGTATGTATCACTTTTTGTTGCAATGATGGTACAGAGCATGAGTGAGGACAAGAGTGTTGGTCAGTGTCGCATGACGCACAGGCCATCCCTTTAGAGAATGAGATGTTGGACCCAGATATCACCAGCACTCTGCTTGGCCACTTTGTTGCAGATGTGTGTTCTTTTCACACCTGTGAACCTTCTCTTCACTTCTGGATTAGACTTCATAGCTTCCTGTACATTATGTATACTGGCAATACACCCTAGAAACTAAGGAGTATTGTGCACGTGCTGTACCCCTGAGCTACCCACCCATCTCATGGACATTTACGCTTAGTGTGCACAAATGGGAGTGTTAGCAAGTTCATTCTGTACTTGCTTCACCAAATATTATTTCCAGATTTATTCACATTATTGTACATGTTACTCCTGAGAGGTCTCCACTGTTTATCTCCAGAACACCTTAACTGACTTTCCATGGCTATGGGAAAGCAGGCTTGTCTAGTCCTGTCACTGGTGTAGATGCCACAGTCACCTCCATTTGCTGCCATAGAAGCAGATCTGGGAAAATGCCATACAGGGCTCAGGAGCCTTGCTCATGCACAGAGGATGTATCCATTTAAATATTAATGTACATCAAAAGTGTGGTGGGTTTAACCTTAAGAGTACCTCCTCTGCATTCGCATGGAAGGCCATATAATGTTCTTAATAGTTCTGGAGGGTTTACCTCTTGGAAGCCACCTTCGAGGACCCATGGCCAGGTCTGCAGTATTCCCAATAACAGGATCCGGATGTTCATAATCTGAAAGTAAAAATAAGAAAAGTTTCTCAGGGCATGCCTTCGTCCCTGGAATTATCTGCAAGCTTATCTGTTGTGCATTGGGTCTGGTCAGTTTCTTTAACCAAACGTTCTGGCAGCCATCTTGTAGATTTTGCATGTTGAGAATAAATGCACACTGATCCTTGTCCCCATATAAGAACCGGATCAGGACCGTTCCAAGTGCCAGTCAGGGGGTCTCACCACATGACCGAGGCAAATTGAGTCTGTGTTTGAGTATGCCAAAAGCGAGATGCTGCAGAATGACCATTAGCATCCAGGATCAAAAAATTAAGGGGCTGGTGGGATGGCTCAGTGGTCTAAAGCACCTACTTAGAACAAGCTTAGCAAAGCACAGGGACCGCGGTTCAATCCCCCAGCACCACATGCCAGCCAGCCCCGCCCCCTGGTGGGCTGAGCTGGCCACACACACACACACACACACACACACACACACTCTCTCAAATAAATAAAATTTAAAAAAAAATTGAGAGTAAATATTAATGTACATCATGCTACTGCCACCAGGGGGCAGTAGTTCCTAGTTCTTATAGCCAACAGCGGTCTTTTTTTTTCCTCCCCTCCCCCACACCCTCTCAGCAGTGCCTGGAAGGAACTCAGGACCTTATGCTTGCCAGGCTGGTGCTTATGCTGCTGAGCTAGCTCCCCAACCAGGCTTTTTATAACTTGATAGGTTTCATAGATTTATAGAGAAATGTGTGTCTTATAATATTTTCCTGTCTTTTATGCATCCCATTTATGTTTTTTTATTTCCTGTGTTGTAAGCCCTTCTATAAAATACCTGCTTATATCATTTTCATATTTATGATGAGGAATTATTATTTTAATGTATTTGGTTGTTACAGGGTCTCACTTCACAGCTTGGATTCATAGTGATCCTCCTGGTTTTAGCATCCCCAGCACTGGGATTACGAGTGTGTGCTACCAGGCTGGACTCTGGCTGGCTCGGCCCGCCCTGTGCTCCCTGTGCTTGCACACGTTTGCCTAAGCAGGACGAGGGATTATTTTTTATAAAATCTTTTTGTTCTTGGTATTTCTTTGTCACTTATAGAAAATCAACATTACTTCTTATAATTTTTCCATCTGCATGTTAA